CAGGCCCACGGAACGTATCAAGAATATCCAGGGGGCTAAATCCCATGGCCGGAAATGCAGGCTAATGTAGGTTTCAAGCACGCGTGATTTTAAAATTCTAATATGGCGTCCCATAAGAAATCAGTGCGGAATTATTGAAATTCGATTGCTTTTGTTTTACGTTTCATTTAAGAACCACGTACTAGCAACTAATTGCCTGTTCTTTAAAATAGCACCAAAGATTCCAGATATTCGCATAAACGATTTACAGCTAGTCTTTCAAAAGAGAGAAGGAGAGACTTTCTTACTGCGGTACAACGTTTCATCCTACCCAACACCTGATATTTACTGGTGGAAATCTAAAGATAAAATAACATGGGAAAATATGGTCAAATGTTCCAGTTCAGGAAGTTGTGAAGGAAACGAAAAAAATACGAATATTACAAAGAATGTCTTTAAAATAGAGAATCTTAAATTTTTGGGAGATGATCTCTTCTACAAGTGCAACGCAAGTAACGGCTATGGAAACGACTCAAAAACCTTTCAACTTCAAATTTATGGTAATCGAAAGTGGGTCCTTTTAAGCTTTTTTTCATATTTTTCTCTACTTTTCGATATTAGGTTACATACCAATGCGGAACAAATATAAAATATAGACAGTATTAAAGCAATTTTACTTTATGGGAACAGATTTTTAGGAAAAGTAAATGAAAACAATAAAGAACCGAAAAAACTGTCTCCGCAAGTAATCATGTTTCCTTTTTGTACATTTCATTCACTTAGGAAATCAATTCGTACGGCAAATCGGGCAGCTGTTCAAATTGCTTAAAACGTTTCGACACCATTTTTTTTTCTTTCCGAAATGACAGGTCGCAATTTTTCATTTTTTGCGCGTCGCGGACATATCGCATTTATCCAAAAACACGTGACCACGAATCTGCCATTCACCGTTTGTGTAATTGCTAGCTTTGCAACAAAGAACTAAATGGCGGAGAGGTGCGGTGTACTTCCTATTTCCCTTTAGTTGATACTAAGCCTTAATTTTCTTGCAGTGCTCCCCAAGATAAAAGATATGCAGGAAAGGCGATTCAAAGAAGGAATGCTTATTAATTGTACTTTTGAAGAAGCTAATCCTCCTGAAGTAAACTACACTTGGCATTCATGTGAAACCAGTGAATGTGATGAAAAAAGTTGGAAACTTGAGACTAAATCACCCGTCTTACGACTTGATAGTATGCCGAAAGCTGAGATGACGTATCGATGTACAGCACAAAATGCCGCTGGGAATACATCTAAGGAAGTGAAAGTGTATAGAGTTGGAAGTAAGAAGCTAAAACAATTTTATATGTGTGATTGTGGTATACATGCTGTTTTCGTCAAAATGCCCTAGCTATGTTATATTATCACAAGAATTAATGACAAATAGCTATATGCACCATTTTGCACTAATCCATATATAAAAACCGTCGCGATTTATTACAAAATAAATGTAGTGGTTTGATTTTAAGACTTTAAGGTGGTCCACTACAGATTTTTTTTCTTTAATTTTAAAAAATAAAAAAATCTGTTCATGCTGTATTGCGATACATTTAAGTTTGCATGCATTGAAATTTTTAAAAAAGAATAAATCATTTTTTTAATCGAACACCTAAAAAGGAAAAAAATTAAAATGATTGGTTTTCCCCTAACTAACTCTTAATCTTTTTGCTTTGATGACATTTGCTAACGAACGAATACAAAATAGTACCACAACTGAATATCTGATTGAATTTCATGAAAATATGAAAGCATAATAATGCGAAACTGATTGCCTGCATTTAACTCACTTCAATTTCATTTTATTAGAATCTGAAGAGATATCGAACCTGAAATCAATAGTGATTCCAATCGTTGTTCCAGTTGGCATTGTATCTTTAATCATTATGACACTGTCGGGTTTGGTGTTATACAAAAGAAGGAAACTTTATGGCGGATTTTACCTCCTCTCCTTTCCACCATTACCAGATTTCATGGAGATGTTTGACGAAAACGATAATATTCAAGAAAAAATTCAGAGATTGCCATTCATTCTTGAATGGGAGTTTCCCAGAGAAAGAATTAGATTTGGTAAGTATATATGGAAAGGTATACTGCAAAAATTGCTATTTAGCATTTTGGAAACAGTGAATTATTATTCAGTTACCATAACAACGCTTTTTGAATTAATTAATTAAATAATTGATTTATATTATGGATTATTGATGTGTGTTTTTTCAAGGCGTAACATTAATAAAAAAGGTCATTTCTGGTGTCTTTCCTCGGGAACAACAAAAAATTTCCAGTATAAGTAGGTTCAAAAAGTTGCTAATAATCGAAAAATTATATTTGAATATCATAACAAGAGCCGAGCTCAAAATTGAAGCCACCATAGTGGTTTCATAGTAATTCGTTCATTAAACCGCGAAATAAATAGTTTTAAAAGGACAAGTGTTGATAAACACACACTTAAAAAAAAACAGCAAAGAAGGATGCAAATCTTCAAACGCCATTTCTCGAATATTTGCAAATTTTCGAAAGCCAACATTTTCTCGTTTTTAGTCAGTCAACTTGGTGCTGGACAGTTTGGAGTTGTTTGGTTAGCAGAAGCAACTGGCATATCCGCATTCCACCCGAGGGAAATATTGCGAGAAAAGCAGGGTCGAAGAAGATTTTTCTTTTTCAATCGCCCGTTTAGAGCAAATAGTTATGTCCATAGCAAGGAAATAACTAAAGTTGCAGTAAAAAGCATCAAAGGTTCGCTTCCTTTTTTGAAAAATAATAATAGTACACTGAAGAAAGTTTATAAAAATGAAACCCCAGGCTTATTCATGCTTCTATGACGCATAAGTTTTCTCTTTGAATATCATTCTAATTTGATTCCATAGGAAATAAAATAAATTTCTCCTCAATACAGAAAATTATGTTCAAAGTAATGTTGCTGATATGAAATCGGAACTAAAAATTTTAATTCATGTTGGTGAACACGAAAATATCGTTAATATACTAGGCGCTTGTACAAAAGGTACGCTATTCTGCCATCTCACTATTATTTGAAATTTTTGGACGAAATATATAATGTTTGATGGATCTGGATGTTGTACATGTTAATGTATGATAATCTAAGCAATGTGTTGTCAAGTAGTAATGCTAAGAGGGGTGCATTTGAGGTATTGAAAAAAATTTTTGATCCCAAAAATGCAAGAATGTAACTAAAAAAATTTTTCCTGTTTACCAGGCAAAAGTTCGAACCTGTGGATTATCATGGAATACTGTCCAAATGGTAATCTTCGAGAATTTTTAAAAAAAAGCCGAGATGTATACAGCTTAGAAGTGGATTGGTTAGTGAGTGACCTCTCGGAAAATTTTGGTCCCAAAAATTTGATGTATTTTGCTTTGCAAATTTCGAAAGGAATGGCGTTTTTGATCTCTCGGAAGGTATTTACGTTTTCTTGTGGCATGCACACCACATTTACTTGTTAAAATAAACCAACCCATGTTGGCCAATTCAGATGTTTGTTTTTGATTACTTTAAAGACATGTTTAAAGGTGGGCTTAAGATCGCCTATTCATTCAAATCAACTCTATAAATTCCACAACATTGCAATATAAACAGAAATATTCTGGTCCACTAATAACACAGTTCAAGTTATACGGCACTAATTGAGAAAGCTTTATTGCGAAGGGTACGAAGTAAATTGGTATTTTTTGTACAATTTGGGACAACATTATGTCAACAGGTCGTAAAAAACACTATGTGTGTTTCTAATCCGCAAAGTTTTCCGTCCGTTAGTCTAGATAGGCCTGCCTCGCTACTAAATGAAGCTTTTAGAAAAGTTAACGTTTACTTACGTTTAGTCAGATTGTCCTGATTTTTTGGCCGGCTTTTTAAAAACTGATTAAACGTGGTTTAACTGACATGAATATTCCCACGATTTCCTACTAACTTTTGTTAAACTCTACAAAATCTTTAAGATAATTCATCGAGACCTTGCTGCACGAAACATCCTCGTCGGTAATGGATTTGTAGCAAAAGTTGGGGATTTTGGATTGGCAAGAGATGTATACAAATATCATCATTATTTAAAAAAATCGACGGTATGTATCCAAAACCGTTATTGCAATTTTTCTGAACGACATGCAGTTGTTGCATACGCGTATATTTGCTATGTAATTTAAAATTATTCGCCTAAGCCTGGACTTGGGAGCGTGAATATCAAGGGGCACCAAAAGCAGTATTTTAATAGGGAGCTCAAACTCAAAGTATACACAAATTCCAAGGTCTACACTGAACGTATTTTTTTTAGTCAGTTTTAATACATCATAATTACAACATAGCCTGAAATTAAAAATTAGCCTTATGAAACAATGATGAACGTATGATATTGCAATATTCCTAAATGGGTTCAAGCTTGCAATCCCCCTACGCCCTTCTTCCCTCCCAAAAAGAAGTGTAACTGCTTCCTCTTCCCTGGTATCACCGGCGCTCCTGTGAATAAAGCTGAAGTAAAAACCGAGACGACGTTATCACGCTCAATCTGTTTCCATTTAAGGGAATGGTTCCAGTGAAATGGTTGGCTATCGAGTCTATTAAAGATTCACTATTTACAGAGAAGTCCGATGTGTAAGTAAAAAGACTATCTGAATACAATTGATCCGAATTTGAGCCCGTTTTCCTGGTCCCAGTTTTGCAAGACAATTTGGACTCTAAATTTCATGTGGTTTCTTGACTTCTTTTTCCCTCAAAATTTAGGTGGTCTTTTGGAATTTTACTTTGGGAAATATTTGCATTGGGTAAATATGTTTTCCTTTTCTGTGAGTTGGGGAACTATAAAACTACCACAACATCTTCATTATAATGGAAGAGTAATTTTTTTTAGCGTATATCTACTGAAGGACTATCATACTTAACCATTATAAATTCCCAAACCTAATATAATCGTTAATGCATGTGCCTGCAATTTAATAATTTAGGTGGTAATCCGTACCCTGGAGTGCATATCAACGATTTTTATCCATTTTTATTGAATGGAAACAGAATGCAACCACCAATTCATTGTCCACACGAGATGTGAGTTAAGCTAAAATGTAAAATGAATGTAAATAAAACATTTGTGGCTTGAAATGTTAGAATGAATTAAATTGACGAAAGAAGAAAGTAAATTTGGCAAACCTTTTAATTACATAGCCTCCTCCGCATGCGGCTTATGTATTTATATTAGGCATTTATATTTTGCTTGGGTTAGCTGTGTCGGGGAGCCAGAGAAAAGTGTGCGAGAGATCTCTCCAGCTTTTTTTGTCGCCTTTCCCGACACAGCTAACACAAACTAAATATAAATGCCTAATATAAATATATAAGAGATGCATGCAGACGAGGCTATTAATTACAGATATTTACCGAACCGAAATCCCTAAAAATATCAAAAATTACATCATAATGTCATAGTGAAGTCTTAAAGTCATGGAGGCAAAAAATTTTAGATTTTTCTTACTAAAATTTTTTATACATCGCAAGAATGTAAACCCTGTTTTCATATCATCGACAGATTTTATATCAAATATAAAAATTAGAAAACGGGCATTGTAAACGCATTTAGGGTCGTTTTCAAGAAAGAAAAAAATCTTTCTATACGATTAATTGAAATTAAAAACTGTACTATCTGCAATCTCTACCATATTATTGATCAATTTTCGTGTTGCCAATGTTTAATATTAATCGTTAATACTGTTGTAATATTTGAAGCTAATTTAAAGCCGGGCAGCAGTGCCATAGTTTATTTCTTTCCAACGATTTATGACTGTCTCAGCGACAAAAATCATGGTAATGGTAAAGGAATTGTCATCCCAGTTTCAATTTACCGTCAGTTATTATTCTAGTCATTTTGGAGTACGCTGGTTACCCCTTTTTATTGTGATTATAGGTTCAATGTTATGTCAATGTGTTGGAATGAAAATCCTACAGATCGTCCAAACTTCTCCAGTTTAATTAAAATGCTGCACGAAATCCTTGGTTTGAATGACGGAATGCTAGAGGTACGAGTTAGCCATCATAAGAAGTTATATACTTTATATGATCATCTTCCCTTTCGCTGACAACGGTATGGTTTAACACATATTTCTATCTAAATAATGACGTATCGTGTATATTTACGAATGTTTTTCCGAAGTTCCTCCAGTCCACTCCAGTCCAGTCCAGTCTTATTTGATGTAAAACCGTTAAGATTTTTTACTAAATCACACGCGGTGGATTTTACACCAAGTAACTCAGGGTACTCAGGGTGGTCGCGAAAGTAGTGTCGAGGTGTGATACCCCTGAAAACTATCCCATGCACTAATGGATGCTTTTCGGCATATTTAGACTTCTATTTACTTGTAATAAAGCTACCTATCGCCCCAATAATGCCATCAATTCATTTCTTTCCAAAGTAAATCCTTCAAATTGACGTGAAAATTTCTTTATTATTTTTAGGCAACCAACGATAGTGATGACAACATCACGAGTAGCTGTTAAAAAGGTAGCATATTAAATCGTAATCGAACCGATTTACAGTGCATGCAAACAGATGTAAAAATTTTTAACCGAAACTGTGACGATTAATACTGCAGATGCGGCAAAAATGTAAACAAACTAAATAGTAGGCATTTTCATAGACTAACTTAAAGCTAATTTAAAAGTATAATTTGTAAAATAACCAACTTTTTTAAACGCAACCATGTATTAAGATTTGGCAATCGTGTACGTATAGTGTTAGTTGGTGTTTGTTGATATATAATTTTATGGGCATGAGAAAGCTATAAAATTTTTCTTGTTGTCCCTTATCTTGAAACCCTTTAAACTATTGGCTCTGAAAACAACGACGAGAAGTGCAAATATAATTATACGATTTCGTTCTCTAAATTAATTTTAATGTACAGCATGTCGGTTGATCGTGACAGCTTTTAACAAAAAACACAATCAGAGTCTACCATAGGCAGCCCCGACATGTTTTCGTTCGCGTGGCGCTCGCGTGTGTACACGAATCTGCTTGGTCTATTATTATGACAAGGTTGGCAAGTTTTTTTACTAAAATATACTACAACGTTTGCTACGGCCTGAATATCTTGCAAATTACAAATGAAAATAATATAAAAATTACATCGGTTTAAACTCAGGTAATTTGACTACATTCTACCAAAGTTTTAACTTCAAACGTTAATTTTAAGGAAAAAGCAAATGTGTATCGATATTTTGACAAAAATTTGTCAAGACTATGCTAGTGGTACCCACCCTGTGGTGTCGTCATAATTTAGATTTGCAACCAAGAAACTGATTGGCTGTCGTTTTTTTAGTTGGAAATTTCGCACGCAAGAGCCAATCAGTTTTCTGTTTGCAATTCAAAATGATGACGACACCACAGGGTAGGTACCACCAGCATAGTCTTGACAAAATTTTGTCAAGATATCGATACACATTTGCTTTTTTAGCATCCTTAAAATTAACGATTGAGAGATTTTTGGAGTTGCAGAGAAGATCTTAGTGTAGAAGACGGCTTGTTGTTTAAATCAGACAGACTGGTGGTACCGTTAAAATTGAGATGTGATATCTTGAGTGAGATTCATGGTGCACATTTGGGACAAAAAGTTTATGTTTTGCTCGAGACTATGTGTTCTGGCCTAGTATGACAGCACAGATAAAAAAAAGATCAAGTCTTGCTCGATTTGTAATTCCTTTCGAAACCAGCAACAAAAGGAAACCCTATACATCTACATGAAATTCCAGATTTGCCGTGGCAAATAGTTGGAACTGATATCTTTCAGCTCCTAGGTCAACAGTATTTGCTAGTAACAGACTTTTATTCAAAGTACTTTGAAGTTGAGGTGCTTCGCCAAAGCCTTTGCTCCAATGAAAATGACGTATTATCATTTGCTTGTAAAATTTCACGATGTTCAGATAAAGCACTTACTAATCTTCTCACATCATCTTCAGATAAATCTGTATGTTGTGTAATCAATAACCTAAAGAAAATATTCGCTAGATTTGGAATACCGGAGAAGATTGTGAGTTACAATGGTTCTCAGTATAGTAACACCAGAAATGTGTTCAATGACTCACATGAGTTTAAAAAATTTGCAAAGGAATGTGGTATTCGGCATATAACCAGCTCACCAGAATATCCACAATAAAATGGGGCAGCTGAAAGAGCTGTCCAGACAGCGAAGCGAATCTTTGGAAAGTCTGTGGCAGATAATAAAGATCCATTTGAAGGTTTCCTGAAATATTGTAATACCCCATTTGAAGGTATTGGGTCGTTTCCGGCCCAACTTCTGATGGGACGCCGAACTCGTACCGTGATACCAACCAACAGGCGTTTATTGCTACCCCAGACCGTCCAATCTACTAAAGTTGTTAAGAGACTTCAATATCGACAACTGCTTTCCAAATATTACTTTGATAGGAGTGGACGGGACCTCCCACCTTTGGAAGTTGGAGATAAAGTGAGAATTCGCCCAAACCGTGATGATAAATGGCGCTCCACAGAAGTTCTACCTCGATCATATGTCGTTCGGGATAATAATGATGATAAATGGCGCTCCGCAGAAGTTCTACCTCGATCATTATGTGGTTCGGGATGATAATGATGATAAATGGCGCTCCGCAGAAGTTCTGCGTCGATCATATGTGGTTCGGGATAATAATGATGATAAATGGCGCTCCGCAGAAGTTCTACCTCGATCATATGTGGTTCGAGATGATAATGATGATAAATGGCGCTCCGCAGAAGTTCTACCTCAATCATATGTGGTTCGGGACAATAATGGTTGTGTATACAGGAGGAATAGAAAACAAATTATATCAGTCCCTAAGGATGGCCTTTAATTTCAGATTTAATTCCTGTGGACGATCCTGAACCGACAATTCGAAATAAAAATTACTTATAATAAAACGTATTACTAAAAAAAACTTTTTAGGGAAAGGGTGTTATAATATTTGTACTCCAGACGTTTAAGTAAACCATAGATCAGCGGCCCCTGATAATAAGTTGGGTTACCCCATTATGTATAACGGATTGTTTTCTACTGTATAGTGTAGTATGTTGTAAAATCATGCTATAGATAGTCCTTGATCTTATTAAAAGTTCTTTCTTTAAATTAAAAACTTATATGTTATATTGATCGAATCATAACACAAAGAAATAACAAAGAAAACAGCGATTAGAGTAATAATATTTGGTTAATTTATTCAATAATCTGGCAATCCTGAATGGCCTTCGAGTTTTACTATAAAGTAAATTGAGTGAAAATATAAAACGTCGTAACGTCAGAGCCTGTACGGTCCAGATTTTTTCTGCAGTCACTTTAAAAAAATATTATATCAGTCTCATCAGTTTCAATAGACTGCACGAAGTACGAAGCTGCATATGGTTACTAATGTAATCCCTATATGGTAATTATTAATGTTTGTAAATTGTGTTCACTGTCTCAACCATTGACAGTGTATTTAAATTTGTTCTGTTTACTACCAATCATTAAAATAACTAAATAAGCTGATCTTTTTGTGTGTAACCTAGTATGTGTTGTGCTTCGAGGGCTCTACCTGGTCTACCACAAATACTAAGACTACCACAAATAGGAAGATCAGACACATGAGACAGGCAATCCTGATTCCAGCAAGTTATTTCCATACGACGGGCGCAAAATATAATGTGACTCCTTTTCAAAACTAAAATATACTAATATATGTCTGCATGGTTGTCATTGCTTGAGTTCTCGCCTTAGCTGGGCAATATGTATCGGATAAATATTTTGTGTTGTTAAAAGCTCGGAAAGTAATAACACATAACTCATCTCTCATTTAACAATGAACAATCGCCCAGCAATAAATAAGCAGCAGTTAATCAAACCAATGAATTGCAAAAATCTTTTTTAGCAACATATTTTTCTAATCCCGATCGGTTAATTAATAATTTATGTCGATTTTTGCGCTATAGTGGAGTCAAGCTGTATTGAGCTTCAGTAGTTCAGTTTGCTCTGAAAAATTTCTTGGTTTTCCGCGTTACTGTGAATACTTTTGGCGTTGTGCTTTCAAAGCGTATCCGTAGAACCGTAGAACCATAGAACCGCAGAACCAGAGAACCATAGAACCGTAGAACGGTAGAACCTAGAACCGTAGAACCGTAGAACCTAAAACCGTAGAGCCATAGAACCATAGAACAATAGAACCGTAGAACCATAGAACCATAGAATCATAGAACCATAGCACCATAGAACCGTAGAATCGTAGAACCATAGAACCGTAGAACCATTGAATGGTAGCATTATATTATTAGGGCTTATAATTATGGCCTATATAAACATGGCCTTATAACCCTTCTCAACGCCTTTTAGAAAAATATTATCACACCACGTTTTTAAGTTATTTGTTCATTTGTAAAAAATATGCTAGACAAAAACACTTCTCGACGTTTCGACCAGAGGGCCTTCTTCAGGAGAGTTTGTATGAAAATAAATAGGCGAGAACAGATGTTTTGTATGGAGGCAAAACACGTAATAAAAATGGTCCAATAGAAGGCAAAAAATGAAAACAAATTGGAATACATTACGTTGCCAAAGAGACGCCTGATCGTGGGCTAAGAATAGCCCGCAATAAGGGACGCCTGATCAGCAACGAAGATATATTACAGCAAGCCTTGACGTACAGTCCTATCCAGAATAAAACTTAATAATTATAGGTCATTAATATTGTCTTCGGCAAAAATTACCTCGACGTTGATCAACAATCGTATATACCGTAATTATATGGAAGAAATTCCGAGGGCACTAAGTGACAGAAGTGTTTTATTAAGTGTCGGTCTTATACATGCAGTGACAGCCGACGTATTGTGCGTGCGGCAAGGGCTGACTCGTATAATTTAGAATTTCTTTTAGACCAATAATTATAATTAAGACGGAAAATACAATGTCGTTCATGTGAATACATTTTAACACTGAATAATGACATTATAGTTATAGTGTCAAATGCGGTATAACAACTGCCTAAAATAGACAAAAAAACTTCTCGACGTTTCGACCTGAGGGCCTTCGACAGGGGAGTTAGGCTTTTTTCTTTGTTTCAGGTTACTTAAGGGTTGTTTAATGTTCACGCACGCCGCACGGCAAGCGCTTTTCCGCGTTTTACCCTCTTTTCCGCGTTTTACCCTTTTTTCTGCTTCCGCATTTTACCCTTTTTTTTCCACCTCCGCCATCCCGTTTCCGCGTTTTACTCTTACCCCCAACCCCCTTAGAGATGAACTAAGCGCTAATTGAAAATATTTTGGGAGATTTTGCGCTGTCATATGACCAGACTAAACCAGGGTTTTCGTCGCAGAGTTGGCGGTGGAGCGTACGTAATAAAGCCTGGCTTGCAAGCTAGGTGCAATTGACAAGTGGGTCACTATTTCATATTACTATCTACTATATCAATTTAAATAATTGAGCTTGTTTATAACGGGCTCTATCTGTATTAAATTGGGCAGTTGATTGATAAAATAAAAACAATCACCATATTGTCTTTCTCTATATGGGAGACACTGATCTAAATAATGTACTGTAAACTGAGCTGCATGAGCCCAAACACAATAAATATTAAATAGCAATGCGGTATCATCTCGAAACAT